GCGATGTTGGTGAGCTGCATGGCCACGCCCAGGTCGCAGGCGCGGCCGACCGCCTCCGGCGCGCGCGCGCCCATCAGCAGCGCCATCATCGCGCCGACCGATCCGGCCACGCGCACGCCGTAGGCCCGCACCTCGCTCAGGCTCTCGTAGCGGCGCCCGGCGGCGTCCCAGGCGAAGCCCTCGATCAGCGCCTCGGGCAGGGCGCGCGGAATGGCGTGACGGTCGACCACCTCGGCGAAGGCGCGGTCGGCGGCGATCGCGCCCGGCCGGCCGGCATAGACCCGCTCCAGCCGCTCGCGCAGCCGCTCCACCGCCGCCAGCCCGCCGGCCGCGCCGGAGGCGCCGCCGCCGCTCTGGCCGTCCACCTCGTCGTCGGCCAGGCGGCAGAAGGCGTAGAGGGCGTAGGCCGGCGCGCGCACCTGCTCCGGCAGCAGCAGCGAGGCGAGGAAGAAGGAGCGCGAGCCGCCGCGGATCAGCGCGCGGCAGGCGCTGCGGTCGGCCGCCCGCGCCAGCATCGCCTGGAAGCCGGGCTCAGACCAGGGCGGCCGCATCGGGCACCACCTGGTCGAGGATCCGCGCCGAGGAGAGCACCCCCGGCAGGCCGGCGCCGGGATGGGTGCCGGCGCCGACGATGTAGAGCCGCTCCAGCTCCTCGCTGGCGTTGTGGGGACGGAACCAAGCCGACTGGGTCAGCACCGGCTCCAGGCCGAAGCCGGCGCCGCGGTAGCTGAGCAGCCGGGTCTCGAAGTCGGCCGGCGTCTGCACGCGCTGGCTGACCAGGGCCGCGCCCAGACCGGGCAGGAGCGTCGCCTCCAGGTGCGCCTGCAGGCGCTGGCGGTAGGGCTCGGCCGCCTCCGCCCAGTCGGTGGCGCCGTCCAGGTTGGGCACCGGCGAGAGCAGGTAGAAGGCGTCGCAGCCGGGCGGCGCCAGGCCTGGGTCGGTCGCCGTCGGTCGGTGCAGGTAGAGGCTGAAGTCGTCGGCCAGCCGCTTGGCGCGGAAGATGTCGTCGATCAGCCCGCGGTAGCGCGGGCCCAGCAGGATGCTGTGGTGCGGCACCGCCTCGTAGCGTCGGTCGGTGCCGAAGTACCAGACGAACAGGCCGTTGGAATAGCGCGCCCGCGCCAGCCGCCGGTCGCCCCAGCGCCGCCGCTTGAGGCCGGGCAGCAGGTGCTTGTAGGTCCAGGCGGTGTCGGCGTTGGAGACCACCACCGCGGCGGCCAGCCGCTCGCCGTCGGCCAGGCGCACGCCGGTCGCCCGCCGGCCGTCGTGCAGGATCTCCGCCACCTCGGCGTTGCAGCGGATGCGGCTGCCCTGCCCGGCGATCAGCGCCGCCAGGCCGCGCACCAGCGCGTTGGTGCCGCCCATGGCGAAGTGGACGCCCCACTTGCGCTCCAGGTGGTTGATCAGCGTGTAGACCGAGGTGACGGCGAAGGGGTTGCCGCCGATCAGCAGCGGGTGGAAGCTGAAGACCACGCGCAGGCGCGGGTCACGGATGTGCCGGGCGACGCTGCGGTAGACCGAGCGGTGGCCGCCCAGCCGGAGCAGGTCGGGCAGCACCCGCAGCATGTCGGACAGGCGCTGGAAGGGCAGGTGGCCCAGCTCCTCGAAGCCGATGCGGAAGACCGTCTCGCTCTCGCGCATGAAGCGCTCGTAGCCGGCCACGTCGCCGGGCGCGAAGCGCGCCACCTCCGCCCGCATGCGCGCCGGGTCGCCGGAGTAGTCGAAGTGCGCGCCGTCGGCGAAGCGGATGCGGTAGAAGGGGTCGAGCGGGCGCAGCTCCACCGTGTCGGCGAGCCGCTGGCCGCAGAGGGCCCAGAGCTCCTCGAACAGAAAGGGCGCGGTGACGATGGTCGGCCCGGCGTCGAAGACGAAGCCGTCCTGGCGGAAGGCGCAGGCCCGCCCGCCCGGCTGTTCGAGCTTCTCCAGAACGGTGACGCGGTAGCCGCGCGCGCCCAGGCGCACCGCCGCCGCCAGGCCGCCGAAGCCGCTGCCGATCACCACGGCGTGGGGGCGCCCGGCGTCGGCCGCGCCGCCCGTTTCGGCGGGCAGGGCCCCGCCGCGCCCGCTGATGTCCATCGCGCGCATGGCGAAAGCCTAGCAGCCCGAGTGTCAATTCACCAGAACATTGCTACTGTCAGAATGACTAGACAGTGGTCCGGGGCAGGACGCCGTGGCGCCGGGCGACCTCGACGATGGCCGCGGCGGTCTCCGCCGGCGCCTCCTCGTGGGCCAGGTGACCCAGACCCTCGAAGAGCCGCAGCTCGCTGCCCGGCACCTGGGCCTGGACCCGGCGGGCCTGGTAGGGCCGGATCGCCCGGTCGGCGCCGCCGACCAGCAGCACCAGCGGCACCGGCAGCCGGGGCAGGGCGTGGTAGAGCGGCTCCAGCTCCCAGCCCGCCATCATGCCGAGTGCCGCCCCGACATGGCGCGGGTTGCGCGCCAGCCGGCGATAGAGGGCGCGCCCGCGCGCGTCGATGCTGGAGCCGGTGGCCGCGAGCAGCCGCTCCAGCATGCCGGCCCCGGCGCGCGCGGCGAAGAGGCGCGGCGCCAACGGGTTCCACACCGCCAGGCGCATGGCCGGGCCGAACAGCGGGTTGGCCGCGCCGGGATAGGGCAGCAGCGCGGCGTTCAGCCCGATCAGGGCAGCCGGGCTCAGCCGGTTGTCCAGGCAGAGCTGCGCCAGGATCGCCGCGCCGGCCGAGTGACCGGCCACCAGGGCGGGCCCGCCGGACGCCCCCGCATCCAGCCTGGTCAGCAGCGCCGCCAGGCCGCGCGCCATGGCGGCCAGGGACAGGCCGCGCAGCGGCGGCAGGGCGGTAAAGCCGTGGCCCGGCAGGTCCGGCACCAGCACCCGGAAGCGCGCGGCCAGGGCCGGTGCCAGGTCGCGGAAGGAATGGCTGGAGGCGCCGGTGCCGTGCAGCAGCAGCAGAGCCGGCGCGTGCGCGGCGCCCAGCTCCTGCAGGTGCCAGGTCAGCCGGCCGGCCGCCGGGTAGGGCGCGGTGACGAAGCGGCTGGCCTCGCGGTTGGGCCAGTCGGCGCCGTCGCGCTCCCAGCTCAGGCCCTCGCCGAGCATGCCGCTTCCCCCGTTTCCGTCTCGCCGCCGCCGGATCAGCCCGTCCGCCGGGCGCGCACGGCCTGGTTCAGTTTCCGCGCGTCGGCCTGGGGCAGCGCCAGGTAGTCGGCCGCCATCAGCCCGGCCAGGCTGCGCGCCCGCTCGCTCGGGCGGGGCGCGGTGTCGACCAGCAGGCCGGCCTGCCCCTCGCGCGCCAACAGCCGGGCGGCCGCCTCGGCGTCGGCGCGGGC